AAAAAAAAAAAAAAGGTAAATACTAGACCCTAATAGGAAAAAACAAATTAAACTTCTTTTTTAAAATACCGCCCCAGTGACAGCTTTTGTACCTTTATTTCTGAGAGTATAACTTGATTTAATGTTATTACACTTCTCCTCTGAATCCCCTCATATGCATGTTCTTTGTCCTGCATTATTTTTAATTGTATTGAATTATATTTCTGCAAAAAATAAATAAAAATAAATAATAAAAAAAAGTTCTGGCTAATGCAGGAAGGCCTTGATGACAGTCACTGGCCCGGAGACTTTGAAGAGCAAATCCTACAGGCGCAAGTTAAGAGATTTTTACAACAATTTTTCTGTAAAAATCATAATGAAAACCACTAATGTAATGCTGAGGTTAACAAAGAATCTGCATGTTAAGCAATGAAGCTTAATACGAGTTCAACATTGCAAAAGAGAGGAAATAAATGCTGAACAACAAAAATAGTATTTCCCCCAACACTAGGCACTTTTATGTGCCAGGGATTCTTTTTTGTGTGCGTGTTTTATAGTTTTTTTTTTGTTAAATGAAGATCATTTCTGGAACAATTTTTCCACAAATTCCAAGTCTTCTGTTCCTATCCCTAAGGTTTTGTCGAAAGTTAGTGTACTTGAAGCTTTTACCATGAAGACGGTGTCAGTGAAGCATGATGATTTCCCCCAACACTAGGCACTTTTATGTGCCAGGGATTCTTTTTTGTGTGCGTGTGTTGTTTTATAGTTTTTTTTTTGTTAAATGAAGATCATTTCTGGAACAATTTTTCCACAAATTCCAAGTCTTCTGTTCCTATCCCTAAGGTTTTGTCGAAAGTTAGTGTACTTGAAGCTTTTACCATGAAGACGGTGTCAGTGAAGCATGATGAGACGAGGAAAAACAGAAAGGGAAAAAAGGTAGGCTAGCTAAATATCACTTTTGGTCAAGAATGTTTTCATCCCATCTTCAAGCTACACTGGCAAAATTGTGACCCTGTCTGTAAAAAGATTTTGTGGTGATTCACCGTTTATGTAAAAATCATCAGAAGGTAAAGAACATTCTGTAAGAACACACTTGTCTTCACTTTTTGCAAGACAAGCGTTTCAAATGATGTTTCCATCACAGAACGCCTTCACAATGCTTCACAGCGCAATAACTGACTGGGGATCAACAGAAAATGAACAAAATCCAAACCAGAAGCGCTTTACTCGCCAAAAGAGGGCAGCAATGTACAAATGTGGAGAACCTTGCAAACACTCACCCGCAATCTCTCCTTTGCGTTTGCAAGCTGTCGTCGCTTGACAGCTTTATCTCGGTCCTCCGTATCGATATACTGGCCGTCATCCAAACGGACAAATTTACCGATACTCACGTGAACGGGAAGCGAAGGTTCAGCGCTCTCGCGCAATAAAATATCGCCCATAAGTTCGCGCTCCGGGACCTTCATGAGACCCACTATGGCCCTGAACTTTCTGCCAGTCATGTCAGCTGACATTCGTGTAATTTGCTTTATTTCTTTATTTTTCAAAATGCTAAATGAGACAGCCGCTCAGCATAACACATAATCTAATACAACACAGTCAAAGCAAGATATATGTAGAGACAAAGCATTTTAATTGATCATATTGTAATATCTATTGGCCTAGAAGTTGGCCAACCGACTGATTAAAAAAATCTATTTCAAACTAGTGCCACCTGTGCGCCAAACTCCACCCTCTCCTAAGTAGAGCACCTGTCCTGTGATGATTAGGTGCACTATCAGTATTCACCGCTAGGTAATATCTATGCTTGCATCTCTGAATGAAAATACATTTACCGTACTCAATCTCTCTTTTGATGATTTTGGAAAAGACTTGTGATTGTGGTGTGATTAAGTGTGAAGCTCTTATTCTGCGAGCAGTAATGTTAATATCATAATTTAGAACTTTTTTATCTGAATGGGACAGCAGGGCAAGTTTCCTCATGGAGAAGTTGTCCCAAGGGCTGTATGTCATTAGGCCTAAGCAATCCAATGCATTAACTATACAGTGAAGATTGAATTGTGTTTTAGGACAAGGATATTTTTCTTAAGTGTCAGGGCATAGCCACATGGGTTTTTCTTGCCTTTGATCTGATAGTAAAAGATATTACTTCAAAATCTATCCCCATGTCTTCATTCAGTGAAACAGTGCAGCATGTGTCACTGGTCATGAACATATATTCACTGATGATAATTCCACTCGCACATTATCTTTCAGGAAACGTATTGTTTATCGCCTTTTTTGTTGTTAAAAAATCTCTTACGAGTCAGTTAAGCGGAAATGCAGCTTTCTGTTGAGTACTCCATACTTACACTTATTATGTGCTTTACTTCAGAGTGATGATAAATAAATACATAATACTCCTTAAAATATGTCTAGCAAATTTCATTCAAAATAACTGTATATTAGTGCAGAAGCCTGAAAAATGTAAACATAAATCCAACGTAAATCCAAACATCCTGTTCAGCTTCATACTTTCCGGTCGAAGTCATAAAACCACACCCAAGTCTAACACAACTCTTTGAATAGATAACACAATGATGCATCACGAAATCACCAGACTGTCCATCAAGCACCTGATCTGAAGGAGTGGTGTGAGAGTGAATAAAGTATTGTCCAATTCAGTTATCAGTCTTAAAAGAATAGTTCACCCAAAAAGGAAAATTGGCTGAGAATTTACTCACCTTCAGGCCTCGGAGTTTGTTTCTTCATCAGAACAGGTTTGGAGAAATGATAAATCACTGATAAAAACATCACAATTATGCACTTGTGAAGTGAAAAGCTACATGTTTGAATAAAAAGCAAATGCATCATTAAAACCTTTTTAACTTCATGCATCCAGCTAAAATACGAGTTCTCTATCCATATTGCTTTCTCCATTGAAAAAGTTGTCTTGTCTGAATCAGGAGAGAAATATGCATAGGTCAAGCACCGTTTAAAACAGCTCTAAACAAATATGTCAGTGCGAGAGAACAGTAGTGTATCAAATTAATGAAAGTATCAATCTTTTAGTTTAAATGTGCTTAGGTGAATAGCCTTTATGGTTCTGTTAGGAAAAAAAAAAGTTTGTCTGCATGTGTTCAGAGATTAGAATATAGAGCTTACAAAATGCTTATCATCTACAAGCGGTATGGCGCAGAATCTGCCCCACCCACATTTACGGACGGGAGCCATTACTTCAAAGTTAATTACGTTTTTTGTTCTCAAAAGTTAATTAATTTCTCTCCAGTTTGTAATATGAAAACCCTCCTCAAAGAAGATTTTCATGACAATGTGACCACAGTTAATTTTTTTCTAGGAACACTTTTTAGGAAATCAATTGCATTTTTTTTTTCAGCAAGTAAACCAAGATGCCTTTGAAGAAACCTTTTTTTTTTTTTAAGCTACAGAACAAAAATAATATATTTCCAAACAGTTCTATTTGTTCAATCACATAATTTTTTAGCAGTTTGATAAATCATTCTGTATTGCAATGGAGACTGACATACGATAAATATAATAAAAATACATAAATAACTGTCTGGATCAACAAAAAGCCAACACTGATATGATTACGGCACAAAAACGGAAAACAATTCAAAAAGTGGGCCCATGTATTACAATTGTTCATGCAAGAGGCCGTAGGTGTCCTATGATATTCGCGAACAATTGAGTCACATTCGTAGGCTTGGAATCTGATCAGCTGCTGTTTTACATTAATGTGCCAGTGGGATGTCAGGAACTCAATCCGTGCTAATCTGATGGGACCAGCTCTCTCCAAAGACATTCCGCGAATTTATAATCATACTAATTCACAGGCAATAAGTGATGTTGCAGGTATTTCAAAATTGTGCCTCAATGATAAGTGGAAACTTACTGACACTAGTCGGTCACTTACTGACACATATTTGTACAGCACCCTTGTTGCTTTGGTGAAATCTCAGATAATGAAAGACAGTGACATAATGCATGCAAAGTAAATGTAATGGAATTACTATATATATCAAATCTGGCAACAAATTCCATGGCTGGTTTTAGACGGTAACAGCTGGTCACACGGTTTTTAATAACTCTCACTTTATACACATTTTCAGTGATTTCTGCCCTTATGAACTATTCCTAGTTTGGATCTATCACGGATGAGCTAAAACTTCTAACCTCCCAAATGCGTGGGTGAACAAATACAACATTTGAAATCAAGACACAATGAAAAATGTTGCAGCGAAAAATAAAGTCATAATGAAACTATTGCTGTAATGCTATATTATGCAATACGGTCTAAAGGAGACGTGCCTAGCTGCACATCTACATTGGGTCATGTTATATATATATATATATATATATATATATATAGATTAGTTGACTAGCCCCCCTCATGTTATGAGAACAGAATTAATTATAAATTCTTCACATGAAACACTACAAAAAGTAATTTTCTTATGTTTAAATAAATATTAAGTGAATTCATGCTTAAAACAATAGGTAAAAAGAAGAAAAGAGAAACTGCCAGTGGAGTAAGAAAAATACAATTATATTCCCCCATTACCCGATTTTTTTTCTTATTCTTAAATTAAAACTCACTTACACTCTTAAAAATAATGGTGCTTCACGATGCCATAGAAGAACCTTTTTGTCTAAATGGTTCCATAAAGAACCTTCAACACCTGAAGAACCTTTCTGTTTCACAAAAGGTTCTTTGTGGTGAAAGAAGGTTCTTCAGATTATAAAAAGGTAAGAAAGAGATGGTTCTTTAAAGAACCTTTGACTGAATGGTTCTTTGTGGAACCAAAAATGGTTCTTCTATGGCATCGCTTGAAGAACCTTTTGAAGCACCTTTGTTTTTAAGAGTGTAATTTTGATAATTTCTTTTCAAAGTGTGCAGCAGTATGACTCCTTAATCTTGCTTCAGCCTAGACCAAAATTGTATTTATTTATTCCTAGTAAGGCTACATCAAATAAAACTCTACACATTTGACAATGTGAAAAACTGCATCCCATTGTGTTTGACTTGAGCTTCCAGTGACACATTTTTTTAAAAGTATTTAAAAAGTACGTAATATTTTATAAATGCATATAGTCTGAGTCTGAGTCTGAGTCTGAGTGGGGGAGGGCGGGGGTGGTCCCAAAATCTGTAAAGTTTCACTTACCTTCTTCATGGCCAATCAGCGGAAAGGATCTCAGTGACGCAACTCAAATTACTAGTGCGGGAAGTGGGTGGAATTAAGAGTGACATCACTTCGCATCATCCTCGCACCGGATAGCGTAAGTTCAAGAAAGAGTTTGAGAAGCTTGAAGAACATGAGCACGAGCCCAAAGTGACTTACAATCAGTTTAGAACACATCCAACACACTTAAGAAGTTTAAGAGACCCAAGTTGACAGAAAACGATGATCGCCTCTCATTTACTGGCATACTACTTCACGGAGCTTCACCATGACCACGTCCAGAAAGTAAGTAACTCACAGCAGCCGGCTCGCGCTAAAAGCCGGCTTATCGACATCTCGCATGCTATACTGACTTAATCAGGCCGATGGATAAGTGGAGATCATTATCGGGCAATTACGATGTTCGTATGTTTTGTTGTTATTGTAGGTCGTTCACATCCTTTAACAACTACACGTGTATGTATGTGATAGCGAGGTCGGTGTTACATCTCTCAACACCAGATAACAGCATAATCCTACTGATACCAGGCTCCGGGGTCCGATGTCTAATACAAAAAAATGCAGTTGTATTGATTTCCTGTTCCAAATTTCCCAATATCGCGCATTTCCCTCGCCGCGTGAATTCCGTGCGTCAACCGCAAACCGTCCGTTTCCGCATTTTTGAAGCTCGGAGACTTACGAGTAACGCTAGCTTCCATAGTTTGGGAGTTGAGAGATGCTCCTTACCAATGATAACCTTGGATGGTGTTCGTGTATTTTATATTCATAATTGTCTAGTCTTCAGTGTGAAATGATGGTCTGTACATTGATTGATAATAAACATAAATGACATTGGATAAACTAGCTGGGCGAGTTTTCGTGGCGCTTCCTGCCACGACGTACCTTTAACTGAGCGAGTGTTGCTCGGGTAACCTGAGCCACGAGCGCCCTGCTAGTCACGTGCGCCACTCCTCACCGCGCGACTTCAGTGTATTCCATTATAACAAAACCGTGCAGCGTCTTCTGTGACCCCGGACACGCACGTAGACACTTAAGCGGCGACATCTGACTTCTGCTTTTTGCTGTGATGTGCTCAACACGCTTCAGACCAGCAGATGACATCTCTGGAACTGCCAAGAATCAAGATATTTATGCCCCTGCACTCCTACACATGCCACCTTTTATCCTCCTGGGTCCCAGGCATAGAGTTTTGTCCTCTGTACTGTAGAGGACATTATATTCAGTGTTGGGGAAAGTTACTTTTAAAAGTAATGCATTACAATATTGCGTTACGCCATAAAAAAGTAACTAATTACGTTACTTAGTTACTTTATATGGAAAGTACTTTTGCATTATTTTTTAAATCTGGACAGGGCTTGCTTGTTTGTTTTTAAAATAAAAAAGTTCTTTTCACTTTTGGTGTGAAAAGGCTTTTATATTTGCCAAAAAGTAAATGAATAAGCCTCAGGCTGAAGGGAAAGCAGATTTATGCCCGTACAGTAGAATGCAGAAGATGACATTTCAACACACTTCAGCAATAAAGAAAACACACAAATGTTTGTCTAGAGTCATTTGTGCTTATTAGTACGGTTGATTAGTACTGGATCAGCGAAGGTCAGAAGCAAAGACATTGGTTAATAGAATGGGATTAAATACATAAAGGATATTTGTGTTGTTTAACATTTCATTATTGCAGGTTTGCGTCATATTCTGAGTTGCATTATTTTTATTCATTTTGAGGAATACTGAATCTGTGTTTTTTTGTGTGTGTGAGTGAGATGAATTAATGCATATTCATATTTATTTATTTTGAACTATGGTAACATCTGATTTCTCTCAGCATGGGGACAGGAGAGCTGTCAGTCAATAAATTGAAAAAAAAAAAAAAAAAAGAGTAACTTGCGTTACTTATTTGAAAAAGTAACTCAGATATTCTCTTGCAAATTAAAAAGTAATGCGTTACTTTACTAGTTACTTGAAAAAAGTAATCTGATTACGTAACTCGCGTTACTTGTAATATATTACCCCCAACACTGGTTATATCTGAGTGAATTTCTCTGAGACCATACATGCCACAGTTTTACGTTTGTACAGAGCACATTCAGGGCTTTTTAGAGATATCAAATGTTTGGAGGTTTGATCATAAACACTGCCTTTCCTTGGTCTTTAAATATGACTGATATTGACCGAATGGTCAAATCTAGCACTCTTAGGGGAATAGGATAATGTTTTGTAATTATCATTTAAATCTGGCTAATTTTCTAATTGTTTGTCATAAATAAACGTCTCAGAAAAATGTTATGGGGTTTTAAATCGGAGTATGACTTTTTGTTACGATAAGGGGCATAGCTTAATTTTCATACATGTCTTCTGTAGAGGACACCAGGACAAACATCATATTAATCAGGCATTTTGGGGAGACACAGCAAGTGAATAGGGAAATAAATTATAAATCAATATTCCTATGAAATATGAGATATTCTTATGAAAATGTTGCCAAGTTATTTCTCCCATTGTGACACTTCTTTTTTCATTATGGTTTGCCCCAAGAACACATTAATATGCAAATTAGATGTGATGTATATAACCATTGTATAAGATAGGAATACCAATTTATGGACATTTTACGCACATTGCATAAAGTACAGTAGTATATCAAAATCATTATATTATATATTTCATAACATGGCTGAGAATCAACTTTGTACAAAGTTGTAGAACTTTGTAGAAACTTAAAAACTGATTGGTGAATGGAAAAATAATGCCTTTTCATTTCAATTTTTTTTTTTAAATAACTTAGTTCTGGCGTCCTCTACAAAGGTCATAGAATAAAATATGAAATTTTTAAATATTTTTTCAAAAATGTTTTTTTTTTTTCCATTCTTATGCTACAACCAATGTAATGACATTAAAATTTTTTTTAATTTTTTTTATAGTTATAGTATGTTATATGCTAAAATGCTAAATGCACTAAATCAGAATACAGTTGACGACACTGCTTTAGAGGGCTACATTTGCTGGGCAACTATTAATCGCATCCAAAATAAAAGTTTTTTTTTGCATAATGTATATGTGTGTACTGTGTATATTTATTATGTATATATGAATACACACACACAGTATATATTTTGAAAATATTTACATGTATATATTTATATTCACATAATTTATATGATATATAAATATATTTAATATATAAAACATAATATATTTTTCTTACATATATACACAGTATATTATGTAAACAAAAACTTTGATTTTGGATTAATTACGAATAATCGTTGCCCAGCACTTATAAACAATGACAACTACCATTCTGTTATGGAACTAACTCCCAGAACTCACCTACGTTTGGTTAGACAGTGGTTTGTGAATAGAACTGCCCTGGGCTGCGTTTCTCAAAAGCATTGTAAACTGAGTTGACCGTAGAGACCATAGGTGGCAATGGGTCTACGATCTACTTGCAATGCTTTTGGGAATTGCAGCCCTAGATGGTAAGTTGTCTGCCAAGTCAGCTTTTAAAGGGGAAGAATTCTGTCAACGTTTACTCATCCTCATGTTACTACGAATGTGTGTGCCCGCATTCTCGAAGGATTTCAAAGGGGCAGTCGTGGCCTAATGGTTAGAGAGTTGAACTTGTAACCCAAAGGTCGCTGGTTTGTGTCTCATACTGGCAGGGATTGTAGGTTGGGGGAGTGAATGTACAGCACTCTCCTCCACTTTCAATACCATGAAGACTGGAATATTGTCATTCTAACATTCTTTGCATTTTCTTGTGGTGGAGCAAGAAATACACACATCAGTGCTTGGGCATCCCAGATTACACAATGTCCAAAAATACCCTAATTTATCTATTTTTCCATCCACTTATTTTTATGTGAATTTTCGAATAGCGCATTAAAAATGCTGGATGGAAATGCCAAAATGCACATAAAATCTTAAAATATTAATAAAAAATATATGCGCTCAGTTGAGGTGGATAAATTGTTTGTTTGTTTTTTTGATAAGAAAATGTATTAACACTGCGATAAGAATTCACAACGTTTTATTATAATAATTTTCTCATTAGAATGTTATATACACGACAACTATTCCCAATCATAGTTATTAATGTTGTGCACTGCTGTTTGAGTTTATCACCGGTAAACTGAAGCGCTCTTTTAACTTAACCAAACGCATTCTATATGAGATAAATCAGATATACATCAAATAAACACAATATTACAATGTACAATTGCACAAAAGGCTGCAAACGAACAGCGCGCATCTGAAGTGTCTCTGAAGGAAATAATGCATTATTTATCGGCTTTAAGATATCGGCCAAATTTTCTTATTGGGCCGATACCGATAACAGAAAAAATTAGCATTTATCGGCCGATACCGATATGGTGGCTGATATATCGTGCATCCCTAATTGAGATGTTCCTGTTTGCTTAACTTTTGCTGAGATTATTGTGGCTGTAGATTTACACAACTTTTTTTTTATCACAAAAGATTTAGTTTACAGTGTTTTGGTTTTTATTGTGTCGTTTTAAAGTGAGATCTCAGGGTTGTGCGCATGAAGCCTGATGTTGTACTGACATTGCACAGTATTACAAGGGAGAAGGTCTCATCAGTGCTAACAGACATCTGCCTTTCTAAAATACCTTTAAAAATGGAAAGTCAGGTATGTCAGGCATAGAAAAGCATGCAAGGACTAGTTCTAAAGAGGTCATATCATGAGAAAGCAAAATTCCCTTGATCTTTGGAAATTCACTATGAGGTTACAGAAATCTGAACTTCCTCCCTAGTCTGAAAATACTTTTTATTGAAATCAAGTTGCAAATACTAATTTTGAAACCGATTATTAGTACATGAACACAGAGACCAGATATGAACAGTGTCTAGACATAACCGACTGTTAACAACAATACCCGCCAAGACAGTATTTTGACATTTATTTTTTGTGTGTTTGTCCATTCAAGCGCAAGTAGACGCAAAAGAGAACTCAATTCGTGGTTCGCGCGGACCATCAGTCAGAGATTTGACTCTCTGGTGCGCGCTTTGAGTGTGTTTGTTGGAAAATATTAATGTTGGAAAATTGAGGTTATTGTCAGAACTTTACAACTTTGTTCTTGTGATGCTGTCTTTTTCAAAAGCTGTTCTTTTAATATAAATTTACATTTGATTTGTTTGTAGAAACGGGCGACTTCCTTGCCCTGGACTTGGGAGGAACAAATTTTCGAGTTCTGCTTGTCAGAGTGTCTAGTAATGGAAAACAAAAGGTGGAGATGGAAAACCAGATCTACGCCATTCCAGAGAACATCATGAGGGGCAGTGGGACAGAGGTGAGGAGTGATTGAGTGCTTTTGTGCCTTTCTTGCTGTAGATCTCATTCATTAAACATGGTATGCATATATATGTATATGTGTGTGTGTGTGTGTGTGTGTAAAAACCAGCAGAAAGCTTAGGTGTTTTATATTTAAAGGGATAGTTCACCCAAAAATGAAAATTCTGTCTTTATATACTCACCCTGGTGTTGTTCCAAACCTGTATGGCTGACTTTGTTTTGTGGAACATAGAAGATATTGAGAAGTATTTTTATATTTTTTTTGGCTTTTTAATTATGCATTATAAATAACTTTGTCTTGTTGTCTGGTTTCATCATTTCATCATTCATCAAGTTTAAAGCGCAATCAAGTATTTAATAGTAGATACATGTACAATGTGTGCTTTCTTAATTGCAAATTGCAATGTTGACTGTATGAACATTCTCTAGTTGTTTAATCTGAGATTGAAGATATAGAAATTGAATGTATTAAAGGGGTCATATGATGCTGCTAAAAAGAACATTATTTGGTGTAATGAAATGTGTTTATGCGGTTTAAGGTTTAAAAAAACACATTATTTTCCACATACTATACATTATTGTTTCTCCTCTATGCCCCGCCTTTCTGAAATGCGTCGATTTTTACAAAGCTCATCGGTCTGAAAAGCGAGGTGTGCTTTGATTGGCCAGCTATCCAATGCGTTGTGATTGGCCGAATACCTCAAGCGTGTGATGGAAATGTTATCCCCCTTACCATACTGTGATGCCCTGTGTCCCGGCGCGATAAGGCAAAAACATTAAAACCCATTATAAACGAGGCATTTGTTGCATCCAGTGGGGACATAATTATGGATTATAATGACTTATACTGTCTTTTTATGCATTGCATCGCGCCGCGTAAACATAAAACCATGTCTGCATTTGTGATCGGAGAAATGACAAACAGCAAGCGCTACTCTACACTGCTCAAAACTCGCATTTGAATCGTCAGTGGCAAATTCTTTAAATATAAAAAACTTACTTACAGTCTGTGAGTCAGAACAGCCAGCATTGTAGTCTACTCTCCCAGGATCAGGAAACAGTCCTCCATAAAATGTGCTGCACACATTTGAATATTTGGGTTAAACTGTTCTGGAACAGTGTTGTAAATACAACTTAACCACTGATTTCTAGTCGTGTCCTCTTTTGGAAGGCCAAACAAAGTAGTTTAGTTTTCACAACGAAACAGCGTCACACACCGCAGCCTTGAGCGAGCCGAGGCCGGCGGTCTAGAGTGAGGCGGATTCGACGAAGGAGCATCCGGCGGGCTTGCGGCAACCACATGTAACGCCCCCGGGCTGGACTCCGCTATGTCCACTGTGAAAGCCGATCCGGCGATCCACAGCGCAAAGTTGATGTATTTCCTTAGTGACCAGCACGGATCCGCTCTAGGCATGACGAAGTGAATATCGTCCTCTTTTGGAAGGCCAAACAAAGTAGTTTAGTTTTCACAACGAAACAGCGTCACACACCGCAGCCTTGAGCGAGCCGAGGCCGGCGGTCTAGAGTGAGGCGGATTCGACGAAGGAGCATCCGGCGGGCTTGCGGCAACCACATGTAACGCCCCCGGGCTGGACTCCGCTATGTCCACTGTGAAAGCCGATCCGGCGATCCACAGCGCAAAGTTGATGTATTTCCTTAGTGACCAGCACGGATCCGCTCTAGGCATGACGAAGTGAATATCGTCCTCTTTTGGAAGGCCAAACAAAGTAGTTTCGCTTTCACAAGGAAAAATACCGTGCCTTCACGACATAGCGGTGGCGGCAACAATACTACAGCGAGAATAAAAGTTACTTCTTTCTTTGCGTCAACCCTCTACGCACACCTTGGCAATATAATCGCCATTGGCTAGTAAATTTTTTTTGTTTACTCGCCAGACTGTTTTACACACACACACACACACACACACACACGTACGTTTACTTAGCTCTCTAAATGGGGACATTACATAGACTTCTATTGTTTTTATATACAGATAGTTATACACTTTAAAAAAAAATTTTTTTTTACCTAAACCCACCCCTACCCTACCCCTCACAGAAAACTTTCTGCATTTTTACAATTTCAAAAGTGAAATTTTTTTTTTTTTATTTTAACAGTTTTACAAATGAGGACATCCACAAATTCAGCCAATCAAGCATTATATTATGATAATTAAGCACTATTTAATGATCGAACTAGTGATTAGAACTAAAACTTGGTAACCATGAATGAATGCATATTTGTCATTTTAACTGAACTTAGGACTGGTGGTGGTGTTTAAGATATTGTTGGTCATAGGTAATAGTAATTATTATTAAAAGCTACTACTACTACTACTATTATTATTATCTGCTGGGTTCATGAATATTAATCAAGTTGTCAGGGTTCGCTCGAACTGATTTGCTGAAATCAAAATGGGGAAGGTAATAAATGAGCGTCAACCAACGAGAGCTGTTCGCGCATTAGCTCCGCCCACTGCCGAGAAACCGGCATATCTTCTGCTTGTTCTTAAAAGCTGAATAATTCTAAATGAACTCTGTTATTTTGACAGGAAAATACAACAAAGAATATGGTTTACATGTAGCGCGTCGATTCAGCGTGGTATGCAAGACTCTCGCTCTCTCTCTCTTTGCATGTGTGAGAAACACAGCGCTATCAGTAAAGTGACGGCGAGTTGTGCGCCTTAACACTAGTTTACAGTACGTCAAATACAGGTGCGCTGCGTGCTACATACTGCGCATCTATTGAGTACATAACATGATCCATTGAGCGCATCCAAATAGTACAGATCGCTTGATGGAGAGCGAAACTCTCAAGCGCTCAGTCAGCATGTTTATAGAGTGAAAATCTGTTGAATGCCTCTCTCACACACATACTGGCATGTAAAATCTAAGAATTTAGTAGCCAATGGCTAATGTTAGACATTATTTAGTCGCCCGGAGTAAGATTTAGTCGCATTTGCGAGTGATTTACTCGCAATTTAGAGGGTTGCTTTACGTGAACATTTGGGCGGTGTTATGCAAATCTTCCCACATCGTGACGTAGATATTGATATACGTGTTGGAACGAGCCGTTTTGGGTAGGCGTGGTTGACTCTTAACTTTTATAAAGAATATCTCTTTGGATTTGAGACTTTAGTCTTTGCAACTTTACAGATCTTCTTTGCGCACCAAGAGCTTGTAACACTCCAAAGAGAAAGGAAAAATTTGAATCGCATCATATGACCCCTTTAACATTTCTGTCAAATTTCATTTTCATTACAGTATAAGATATATTGAATGCTTTTGCTCTCACTTCTCAGCGCAGAACACTGTCTGCATAAAATTACCAACTTAGACAAAGCCCAAATGAATGAACACATTGTGCGTCATGTTGCCATTTTAATGCACATTATTCTTTCTACACTTGTTCACCGTTTAAAACGGCTTTAACACTTGAGCACATTCCATATGGTTAAATCCTAGATGTATAAAACAGACGTGTTTATTTCGTTTTATATCTTCATATTCAAGTCTGTTTCATTTCTATCATGAGACATAAATATGCTAAAGTTATGCAAAGAATATCTTATTTCCATGATAAATGGCAGTCATTTATCTATTATTCATTTAGCAAACAATATAAAGCAATTTGAGATGCTACAATAAACTCTTCAGCATAATAATCAAATAAATTGTCATAAATCTAAGTAATAACTAAGTAAACGGACTGTCGTGCATAAGTGTGTTTTGGGTGGCTGGGAACTGAAACATGCCTGGTTTGAAACCAAACTAATGTTTTCTCACATACTTCATCCATACTCTCTGTGCTAGTCTGGCAGTGAACGTGTCCTTTAGCCTCCGCAATGAAGACTGTCTAGACTTCAATCATTGCAATTCGACCACAAGACTCCTTTATAAGTGTGCATGACCTGGAGGTGGAAGGTACAGTTGGAACCCAGCTGGCAGAAGATGATGGTTCCTCACAGCCTATGGCATTATGGCTTTATAATTTCAACGTGTAATGCCTAATGTGAGGAGACTGCACCTCATGTTGATTGACAGTCCCCTTTGGATTTTCCCATGGACGCTTTTCACTTTCAAGAGCTTCTCTGATGCTTGTTTCCATTTTAGTTTAACCTGAAGAGCTGTTAAAAAAATACCTGATGTAATCTGTGCTTATGATTCTGTAGCCTCTGAAATGTTTCATACTTGTGAGATGAAAATAACACCTTTGACCAACTTGCACATGATATTTTTGGTTCTTCTGATCTACCTAAGTAGACCATATACTTTTTGGCATGGGACACTTTTGAATGTAATGAATCCTTAATCTAAGTTAAGAAATGTATTTAAATTGGTCTTAAAATTAATCATGTCATTTTTTTGGTTCTTTTCTTTTCCAGCTCTTCGATCACATAGCTGAATGCTTGGCCAATTTCCTTGAAAAATTGGGCATCAAAGACAAGAAGCTGCCTCTTGGCTTTACCTTTTCATTTCCTTGCCAGCAGACCAAACTAGATGAGGTGAGATGAGATGAGAAGGATTAAAGGGAAACAAACACTAACCTTAGCAGCTCTTCTGTCAGAATGTCATGTTTCCATGGTTGCCCTTCTTTCTGTACAGAGTTTTCTGGTGTCTTGGACCAAAGGTTCTAAGGCGAGTGGAGTGGAGGGGAGAGATGTTGTGGGCCTGTTGAGAAAAGCCATCAAGAAGAGAGGGGTGAGTGTAATGAGTCAGTGTGTTATGCTTTTATATTCACAAGCTACTGGTTTTAGTCTTTCTAGTATAGTGAAATGATTAAGGCAAAAGCTTCTTCATATATGTATGTATATATTAAACTTGAATCCACCGATAGATGCAAATACTCAGTGGTAGTATTTACACTACTGTTCAAAAGTTTGGTGTCAGTGAGATTTATTTTTTTTTTTTTCTGAAACAGAGTATTGCTTGTTTTAATACCAGGTGTAAACGGAGCCAATAATGGAGTGAGCATGTACAAACTTTCCAGAAGAGAACAGCGAGAAAATAATTATTAGATTATTCAGAATTGAAGCATGTGAATTTCCTTTTTGGAATAAAGGCTAGAAAATGTACATTAATCAGTGATGTCTGGTGTGAATTCACCACTTGGTCCTCACGTAAAGTTAATAAATGCATGGGAATTCTTATGTGTGAATCATGGAGGGTGTTGTTGTTTTGTGAGTTTCTTAAGATATTTCTGAGAACAAGGACTTGATGTTGTGTGTCACAGTGGAAAAGGTTGTCTGTTAGCAATTCCATTCATCTCAATGCCACTTACTTGGCAGATGCAGGAAGCAAACTATTTGAATTCTGCTCTTTGACTGCATAAAGACTTTTTTGAGCCAACATTCATGTGATTAATTATGCTATAGCCACAGCAAAATGATTTCATGACAAAAACTGATGTTAATGGTACCACAAGAACATGCAAAATTTGAATTAATTCAATAGAAATAATTCAATTGAATTAATACAAACAATAATGTTATTTTTATAAATAAATAATACAAATAAAATGTATAATTATAATAATTATTAAAATATATAATAAATGTTTTTTTTTATTACCTCCATAAGGTGAACTTTACCGAATCTACCAGCAGGGGTTAACAGGGCCATGCTAACCAGCCAACACTCAAGTCCATTTTGTTTTTAGCATCACCCTTTAAAAAATCGCTGCAACATAGATTCACATGCCTCTAGGGCTGCCCCCAACTAAAGATTTTTCTAGTTGACTAGTTGTCAACTTATCGCACGTTTATATTAATTTCATTACATAAATATATACTGACAGTGGGGAACTAAACTATAATGAGCCTTTAATATACAGCCTATTCCATGCTCAAGCACACACATAAAGCTTGCCAAAAGTAATGACTGTGTTGGGAAATACAGCAAGGAGATATTTGAATCATGTATTAATAAATGAGTGTTTTCTGGTGTCGGCTGCAAAGATGAAGCTGACGATGCTGACTCGTCATCTCCGCAGTACAGTGGATGTACCTTTAGAGAAAAATCGACCTTTCATACGGATTACATAATGAGAGAGTATTTGTTTTCGATTTGAATTTGTTCTTTTAAAAATGAGACGTTTCAAGCTTTCTATAGATATATTTCTCATGTCTGTCAGGCTATTATGTTGAGTTTTGGTTCATTTTTTTGACGCGTGTCAGTTCACAGAGACCGAGACGTCAGAAAGTGCGTCCTTTTTTCTTTTTTTTTCTTCTTATTTTTACAAAAGCACGTCTTGTTGTAACATTTAGTTGACTATTAGGGGCACAGCCCTACATGCCTCATTAGTTTATTTGACCTTTCGTAAGTGTTTCAGCTTGGTTCAAAATAGCAAACAAGTACCAGCATTTTCTTTTTTTTTTATCTCTACAGGACTTTGACATTGACATTGTGGCTGTGATCAATGACACCGTTGGCACCATGATGACCTGCGGTTATGACGACCATCACTGTGAGATCGGCCTCATTGTCGGTGAGTCACTGTCTTACATTTGCACTCAAATGCTAGCTGAGATCAGTGGGAAATATCAGCCAGGGTGGCAGTGATATTGTCAGACGTGCTTGCTGTGAATGAAAGGTGCTTTATTCAAACATAGACTTTTTGTTCTGTCATTTGTTTTGGTTATTGGTTGTGGGAATATTAGAGCACACATTTCAGGCTTTTTATTGCCGCTTCAGGCCTGTTATTATGGCCTAACAAAATGATTTTGGCGGCGTCTTCACAATGCTAATTCTCACACTCCTCTAAATGAACTAATTGTTTTGATTCATGTTCCCCAATGGTGTGTCAAATACGTGTAATTATAGAGGCTAGAGCAGATGTCTCTGAGTCTTTCACACAACTCAGTTATTACACTCTCTAATTTGTACATGATTTTAACACTTTCTCACATTAGATGACGAATACAGAAGGCTACATTTATAGTTGTATGTGGAAATACAGCCAAAGTTCTTTTAGAGCGCAAACAGCTGGAGTGAAGCTTCTTTTTGTTTTCTTTTTTTGAAAGAAATTAATTATTATACCTTCTATTTCAAATAAATTCTGTTATTTTGAACTTTCTATTCATTAAGTTATCAAACGGTGTCGTGATTCTCACAATAAATAAATAGATACAATGAATTCATGAATTAATAAAATGGGCTGCAACTGTTTTCAACATTGATAATAAGAAGAATTGTTTCACCAGATCAGCTGAAATTCAGCTTTGCAATCACAGAAATAAATTACATTTTAAAATGTATTAAAAATAGAAAACAGTAAAAAATATTTCAAATACTGCACATTTTCTTTTATAAGAAAAGAAAAAAAAAATTAAAATATAGGGGTGTAACGATAAACATATTTTCAGTACGCATCTTTCAGTTTGTTACGCATGTGTAATGAACAAATACAGCATTGTTTTAACCACTGCACGAGCGGAACTTCGTTGGAAACTTCCAGTTTTATGTATTGTTACTTTTGATAAGAAACGAAGGTCTCATCTCTCGCGCTCTTTGATGTGGCGCGACAGATCGCTGTATAAACGCCTCAGTTCAAACGGCAGCGCGATCATCTCTTCCTATTTACTACTAGTTTTAACGCGAAATAAACATGAATGAACATCTTTTGTAATTGTTCAATCAGTCTTTCCACCGTGGAAAGACATCAATTAAACAGCTCGTAAACAAAATGTCACGTAGCATTTCATTTAAAGCTCGTTAGTTCGCTATAAATGATGTCTAGAGAAGAGCATTTTGTGAAATATTAGACTATATACTCATTATATTTTACTTTGCCTGTTAGTGATGACTTAATTATTTAATGTGTTTAAATAAATCTGTTATGAAACTAGTTATGACAGCTACTGCATATATTTCAACAACAAATAGAAATGTAATAATTTTGAAGTTAATTTAAAATAACTTTTGCATTGTGCAGTTTACATGTTTGCATACAATTTTTTATTTTTTTTGTAACAAGTACTGTCGTTGAATAAATGTATTATTTTCTGTTTCCTGGATGGAAAAAAAAGAATGTGTAAATAGTCACCACATTACCATTTTTATGTCTATTTACGCATGACAAACTAGGACTTATTTCTTTATCAGTTTATGTCATTAAAATTATAATGATGGTATCAAGAACATAATGAAATGTTATAAACCACAATGGACAGCATTGTCTTTGTTTATAAAGCATCCTACAAGACTAAGATATCCAGAATGTAGATTTAAGTGGTTGAACATACTCTAGGCCTCAATAATTGACACACAAACCTCAAGAACGGTGGCAATCAACAAATGTAAAAAAAGATGAGCTCTTTAAATCACTGCACAACTAACAATAATGACAAAACAACAACGAAAAAGTTTAAATGAAACCAAAAAATAGCAAAACAATAACCCTATAACAGTATCTACATAATTTATTCATGCTGCAATGCATGCTGGGAACTCACAAAGCCTTAACATTTCAGCAATATAAAATTCTTTGTTCAGACAACTCTGTTTGACTAGTTGGGACAACATTTGGGGTCTGACAAAGGTTTTTATGTTCAATTCTGTTGGTCTAACAAGGATTTTTTTATGTAGTTTCAAGAAAACTGCTAGTATTTGAGACTCAAAAGGTTTCGTAAGCTGGAAAATATGCAGTTGGAATTTTTTTTTTTTTTTTTTTTTTTTTTTTTACATTGTTTTTTTTAATAAAATAAATAGAAATAAAATAAAATTTGGGGAAGTACTAAATTTACTAAAATTAAGATAAATAGAAAAATAAATAAAAAACTAATAAAATGAAAAAAGCACAAAGTTATAGTTATTAAATCTTGAACTACAAGTAAGATTAAAACAAAATGTAAAAAAAAGCTAATTCAGAATTTTTTTTTTTTTTTTTTTTTTTTTTTACAGTGTATTGATTATTAAAATAAATAGAAATTAAATAAAATTTGAGGTTGGTTCTTTGTTAATTGTAAACTTATAGTAATGTAAAAGGGCTCCCTATAGTTTAAAGCAGAAGCTGAGGTAGATTTGTATTCCTAAGAAAATGTTAAATTATAATTGAATTATTTAAAGAGCAATTTGTTCAGTAATCGACTGTTTAATAAAAAATGCAATTTTATGTTTAGTTTTTCCCCGTGCTGTACCAAAACCATAACGAACCGTGATGTATGAACCGAGGAATGTACAGAACCTTTATGTTTGTGTACTGTTACACCCCTATTAAAATATTTTAAATAACAGTTTTAATGCCAAATTTAAGTGTATAATGTGTAAGTGAAGTGTTTATTAAATTGATATTTAATAAATAATAGGAACTTAACATAACAAGAAGTCTGTACTCCTATATAGCTGGAGGTAGCTGGTTTATTTTGAATCATAAGACAGTTTTGAGAGACTACAGTAGGCTTTAGTAGCTGGGTTAATAAAACAAGCTTACCCAAAGCTTACCCTGCCATTTCCCACTGAGACAGACCACTGTTGAGTGTACAATTGAAATATAATTCAACATCGTGAAGATATAATGAAGTCATTTCCCCTGCCTGCACCTTTGAACACAATATTTAGGATTTGCATGAATCTGTTGAGTATGTGCTTTTCATAGTGCTTAGAAAACCAACAGGCTGTAGTTTTAAAGAGGAATTGCATTGAAGAATATTTGCATTTGCATTCAATCATTGCATTCAAACTGCATTGTAGAGAAAGCAATAAAAATATACCTCCCTGACATTACATGGTTTAAGACATGAGTCGTCTACATCGTCAACCAGTATTATATTCTTAAATATCTTTCATGTTTTAGGCTCCTACACAGATAAAGCAATACTGTTTCACAATTACAAATCATGAATTGGCTGCACTGCTCAAGCCTTTGTAAGAGTAATTGAAAAAAGGCATGTTGCATCTGCAGTCTTAGGTTCAGAACAGACCCACCCAACATCCATCATACCTTTGGCATTTTCTTGAACTTTCCAGTTTGTTATCTGCTTTAGTAGTAGTTCAAATACGCAAAGCAAAGACAACCGATAGCAGTCATTTTTATCATGGGACGTGATGATGGATTTGTACCACTTCACTTGGCTAGACATTTCAGTTACTCTGGTTTCTTCCCATTGGATAAGAGACTATCAGATGATATTAGTTTGAAGTATAGTTCAGTGAAAATATCATATACAAAGCACAGATTACAGATATGTTATCCTTTAAAAATACAGTTAAAGGAAATGTAACCCCAAAAAGAAAATACACTATTTACTTTCCCTCATGTTGTTTCTTGCTGGCTTTAGTATCTACTTTGCCATTCCTTAACATGATCCTAATCGTTAAAAAGCTCTCTGGCCTCAACATGCATCGTGGCTTTGTCATTGCAGGACAGATTTAGCATGTTGACAGGCTTCATACATAATCATTCATACATAATAAAATTGAACACTCCCCTTTCTTTTGTTGCTCATGTGCGTTGGCTGCTGCAGAGACTGAGTATACTTAATTTATAATAAGTCACAAAGAGCTCCTTTACCACCAAAGATTTGACATTGCACTGTAGAGATATCAGAGCTCCTGCATGAATATTTTATATAGTTACACAAGCCTGTATATCAGATTTCTTAAAGGGGTCATATGATGTTGCTAAAAAGAACATTATTTGATGTAATGAAGTGTGTTTGTGGTTTAAGGTTAAAAAAACACATTATTTTCCACATACTGTACATTATTGTTTCTCCTCTATGCCCCGCCTTTCTGAAATGCAACGATTTTTACAAAGCGCATCGGTCTGAAAAGCGAGGTGTGCTCTGATTGGCCAGCTATCCAGTGCATTGTGATTGGCCGAATACCTCAAGCGTGTGACGGAAATGTTACGCCCCTTACCATACTGTGATGCCGTGTCCGGCCGGAGCGATGAGACAAAAACATGAAAACCCATTATAAACGAGGCATTCGTTGCATCCAGTGGGGACATAATTATGGATTATAATGACTTATACTGTCTTTTTACGCGTTGCATTGCATTGCATCGCGCCGCGTAAACATAAAACCATGTCTGCATTTGTGATCGGAGAAATGACAAACAACAAGCCCTACTCTACACTGCCCAAAAAAACTTGCTTTAAATATAAAAAAATATAAAATTATAAAACTCTTTAAATATAAAAAACGTACTTACAATCTGTGAGTCAGAACAGCCGGCATTGTAGTCTACTCTCTCAGGATCAGGAAACGGTCCTCCATAAAATGTGCTGCACACATCTGAATATTTGGGTTAAACTGTTCTGCAACAGTGTTGTAAATACAACTTAACCACTGATTTCTAGTCGTGTCCATTTTTGGAAGGTTAAAGGAGTTTCGCTTTCACAACGAAACACAGCATCACACACGGTGGCCTAGAGTGAGGAACGGCCGGCGGGCTGAGTGAGCAGAGGCGGCAGGCTTGATAACAGCGCGGCCGGCGGATTCGACGAAGGAGGCGATCCACAGCGCAAAGTTGTTGTATTTCCTCAGCAACCAGCACGGATCAGCTCCAGGCATGACGAAGCAGATATCGTCCTCTTTTGGAAGGCCAAACAAAGTAGTTTCACTTTCACAATGAAACACAGCGCCTTCACGACATGGCGGCGGCAACAATACTACAGTGAGAATAAAAGTTACGCCTTCTTTCTTTGCGTGAACATTTGTGTGGCGTTATGCAAATCTTCCCACATAGTGAGGTAGATATGTGGGGCGTGTTAGAACGAGCCGTTTTAGGTAGGTGTGGCTGACTCTTAACTTTTATAAAGAATATCTCTTTGGATTTGAGACTTTAGTCTTTGCAACTTTACAGATCGTCTTTATGCACCAAGAGCTTGTAACACTCCAAAGAGAAAGGAAAAATTGAAATCGCATCATATGACCCCTTTAATGCTACGTCAAAACAGAAAATGAATTTGGACAAATCTCAGGAAAGAAGGAGGTATCGATTCCCACAGTCATGGAGAATTTTACCATTTTGAATTTCCAAGCCTCTTGAGAAATGTAATGCTGTGTTGAAAAGTTATGAAACTGTATATACTATAGTTTGTGAATTTCTGATTATGCTCTGCATGGAGTCTCAGGAAGCTCAAACCTGCATTGAACCACATTCAAATCTCTGGTCTTTTTTTCTCTTTGTGGAGATATTTATACATAAGCATGAATCTCTTATACATATGAATGAGAAATAATCTCCAGCAATCCCTATGAAATCCTTTTAAAAATACTTATACATTAATCATGAACTACTTGAAAATGGAGATTTCATGGAAATTCATTGGTCAAAAAGGGTGGGAACCCTTTTTGGAGTGTCTCAGTGTGGGTCATTTCTCTTAAAGTAATGTTAAGCACAGAACTTGAAAACCGCTAGTTTAAAAGTCTGGAAAGGAAACGCATGGCTTGAAAATAATAAATAAAAGCGGAAGAGACTTATTTGTGTATTTATTTATTTAAAATAAAATAGCTTTTATAGCTTTTACTAATCTGCTGATGTGACTCTTAGTTTCATGCTATGACATTTTAATTTATATGTGTAAAACATTTTTAATGTGGGTGGTGTTATGGGTTTGTAAACAAATCTTGGTGTGTTTTACAGGGACGGGCACCAATGCGTGCTACATGGAGGAGATGCGGCACTTGGAGCTGGTGGATGGTGATGAAGGTCGTATGTGTGTGAACATGGAGTGGGGTGCGTTCGGCGACGACGGCGCCCTGGATGACATCCGCACTGAATTCGACCGGGAGATTGACGCTGGGTCCCTGAACCCCGGCAAACAGCTGTGAGTGACAGTCCTGCACCTGACAGTTAGTGCCACTCCCGACAGTTCTTTTGTTGACACAAAAAGCCATTGAAGCCCTTTTCCCTAGAGGCCAGCTGTGTCAGCCGGTTGTTCTACTAGGCAATTACAGAAGAAGGTACAAGGTTGTCACCATGGTGACACCAAGTACACAGGCATTCTTGCGTACATGTTCATTCCAAGAAGGCAAGTGTGAACAATTTTAGGAAGACCATATGTTGCTGCGATAGCTAGAAACAGTCATGAAATAAACTCTTGCGCCATCATTAAAGGGATAGTTCACCCAAAAATGAAAATTTTATGTTTATCTGCTTACCCCCAGGGCATCCAAGATGTAGGTGACTTTGTTTCTTCAGTAGAACACAAACAAAGATTTTTAACTCGAACCGTTGCAGTCTGTCAGTCATATAATGGAAGTGAATGGGAATCACGGCTTTGAGAGTCAAAAAAACATACACAAACAAAACCATATTAAACCCTGCGGCTCCTGACGATACATTGATGTGTAAAGACACTAAACGATCGGTCTGTGCAAGAAACTGAACAGTATTTATATAGTTTTTTACCTCTGATTCACCGCAATGTCCGAACTGTCCTGAGTGCATTCTCAACAGCCGGCGCGTGATGCGTCGTCTTCTTGCTTTATGGCGGATCGCAGACTTATAAGTGCATTACCGCCACCTATCTCTCAAATGGAACATTGAGATTGTAGATAGTGTCAATGGTCCATTTGAGAGATAGGTTGGGTTAATGCACTTATAAGTCTGCGATCTGCCGTAAAGCAAAAAGAAGAAGACGGCGTGTCACGCACCGGCTGTTGAGACTGCTCAGGACAGTTCGGACATGGCGGTGAATCAGAGGTTAAAAAACGATATAAATACTGTTCAGTTTCTTGCACAGACCGATCGTTTAGTGTCTTTATACATCAATGTATCGTCAGGAGCCGCAGGGTTTAATATGGTTTTGTTTGTGTATGTGTTTTTGACTCAAAGCCGTGATTCCCATTCACTTCTATTATATGACTGACAGACTGCAAATGTTTGAGTTAAAAATCTTTGTGTTCTACTGAAGAAACAAAGTCACCTACATCTTTGGATGCCCTGGGAGTAAGCAGATAAACATCACATTTTCATTTTTGGGTGAACAATCCCTTTAACTGTGCATTAGCCTGCTTTTCTGATCCGAACTCATGGGTCTCGAGAGTTTTAAAGCTGCAGTTCCTGACCCTAGTCATATTGACTCCACAGGCGCTTTCATTTTGTGGGTAAGAAGCAGCACTTTGAAAGGCTTTAAAAATGCAGAAGTGTAATCAAATACTATGATGCCCTGAGTGCTTGTTGCTGAGCTTTCTAAATGCCCTCAGTGGTGGAGTATGGCAATTGATTGCCTTATTGGATTTGCACATGCACATGCACAAACCAATAATTCAGGACTGATAAAGTAGCTTTGAAACCTCTTGCTTTTCCCCCAGAGATCCTGGTTTCAAAAGATCAATGGGAATATGCTGTTTCTTTACAGTTGCAAGTCAGTGTTATTGTTCTCTCGCATACCCTGCTCCCTGAGACGATGAATGTTTAGACTGTGTCCAGATCGAGTACTGTAAACATTTTCCTTTTCCCATAAATAAGAACTCTTAACAGCAATGTGAAAAGAGACGGAAGTGGTTTTAATTTTTGTTGTATAGTAAGGCACGATATGGACTCATCAGTTATTTACTCTACCTTTTATCCAGTTTATTTATACCAGTATATAATGGACCAGGGTCAAG